TTCAGTAACTGATGGAAGCAGATGCAGAGATCCACAACTAACCACTGGGCCAAGCTCCAGAGACCAGTCGAAGAGAGGGAGAAGTGATAATATGAGCAGTGGGGTAAAGACTTTGATGGGGAAACCCACAGAAAAAGCTGGCCGGAGCTAGTGGGAACTCACTGACTCTGGACAGACAGCTGGGGAGCCTGCATAGGAACCAACTAGGCCTCCTGAATGTAGGTGACAGTGGCGTGGCTTGGACAGTTTGTGGGGTCACTGGCAGTAGGACCAGGATCTATCCCTAATACATGAACTGGTTTTTTGGAGACCATTCCCTACGGTGAGATACTTTGCTCAGCCTAGACAAAGGGGGGAGGGCCTTGGTCCTGCCTCAACAAGGTGATAGGACAGACAACTCCCCATAAGAGGCCTTACCCTCTCAGAGGAGCAGATGAGCGATGGGGTGGAGGAAGTGGGAGGAAGGGAGGGAGGGGGAACTGGGATTAGTATGTAAAAAAAAAAGTTCAATAAATTTTTTTTAAAGTTAAAAGTCTGGATATGGGTCAGTGAGATGCCTCACTGGGTGAACAGCTGAGCACTTGAGTTAGTTCCTGGGAACCTATGTGAGGAGAGAATGAACTCCAGAGAGCTGTCTTCTAACTTACATACACATGCCATGACACACAGACCCCCTCCATATGTATAATAAATAATGAACTGTTTTAAAAATTATGAGTGCTCTGTACGGCAGAGTTCAGTTATGTTGAGTCAGGGTTTTACTATGTATCTCTGGCTAGCCTGAAACTCACTCTGTAGATCAGGCTGGTCTGGAACCCAGTGATCAACCTACCTCTGTTTCAGGAGGGCTGGGAATCAACGCCCAATTTGGGCAGATTTTAAATTTATCTAAAGTTTAACCAGATGTTAAAGAGCCCACTTTTATGAGTAAGTATATTTGCTTGAAGAGCAGATTATGATAGATTATTTTGTCACTGTACTATTCCATGCACATGAAGAATTTAAAGAATCTTTTAACTTGATTGATCAAACTAAAAGTTAAAGCAGTCTTTAGACTATAACATATTAACTAATTAACTCTAATATATTAATCAATTAATTGACTCTAATATGTTAATAACTAATGAAAATATTAGCCTCCAATATACAGAAGGGAGTTTTTTCACTGTTGACTTATCCTTTCCTATCTCCAGAGTGTTATTTGCCTCAGAGAAGCCTTCCAGGTCTTCCTATTTCTTACCCTTCTTGGTTGGCATTCTCTGAAGCGCTCAGCTTGCTACAAAAGAATCCCTTATTGCCCAGAAGCTGTGTGAACATATGATTTGATTCACAGTAACAAGAAACCAGCTTCCATAGGAAAGAGCTGTTAAGGATGCAAGGGTCATTACTAACAGTGCGGGGTATGGGGACAGTTTATAGTGTGTTAGAAGAGCACACCTGTACTTCATTTTGCAAAAGGGAATCTGCACATGCACAGTGGTAAGCAGCCCAGAAGACGCACAGAGTATATACTGTGCTAACAGTTTCTATGTTCCGAGTTAAATTTTGATTTAGAAGTAATCCAAAGGGTGACTCATGAGGAATTCAAGACTGGGAGGCCTTGATGTAAGAGAAAACCTGATACACAAAGAGAGGAGGTGATATGGACAAAAGCACCAATACCATAACTCTCTGAGACAACACTGACCTCCTTGCCCACAAGGGCAAGAGTAAACTCCCATATCACTCACTGCCTTTCTTTCCCTGCACTATATAATCTGCTGGGTAAAACAGATCTTTGCAATGTTAATCCGCTGTCTTGTCAGATTGCTGGCTCTGAACAAGACACTGTTTTAGGATTCAATTCCTAGTTCTGTTCACTGGCTCCCGAAAGTGATGGGTAATGTGGACCTGTTTCCCAGTTCACTTTATCTTCATCCATATGCAAAGAGATTAAGGCAAAGAATCCACAACTCACAAGCACACAAGTTTCAATCTTATACTAGTGCTGTATAAAGGGCAATATTAATTCACTCAAAATTCAAAACAGGTAATAATTCTACTTAGTGAAAAACAGATGGGAAAGAGAAAAGAAATGCCCCCCACTTTCTCCACTCTGTGGTCCTCTGGATGAATCCCAAAGGAGATGAGGACATACAACGGACCCCAGCACATTCACTCACATGTGACTCCTCTGATCTGCACATGCACAATGAATTTTAGTTTAAAACAGTTTATTATAACCTGTCTCTTGGCTTCTGCAGGCCTCATCATTCCAGCCATTCAGCTACAAACCACATAAATTGCTATCACCTACTTAATCACAAAAGAAAATTCTAAAATGCTTAAGTAAACCAATATTTTATTTTTTAAAAAATCTACAATGGAGGAAACATCCAGGCAAAGCAGGCTGCTTTGCTCACAATTACAGAAAGAAACCCTCAATCAGAAAGTTAAATACTGGGGCTGGAGAGATAGCTCAGTGGGCAAGAGCACTGGCTGCTATTGCAGAGGACTCAGGTTCAGTTCCTAGCACCTACAAGGAAACTCCACCCTAGGGGCCCAATGCCTTCTTCTGGACTCTACAGGCACCAGTTACACGTGGTACACAGACACAGGCAGACAAAACACCCATACACATTAATAGAAAAAAAAAGTTAAAAAGTAAGCTTATTAAATACATACTTGTTCACCAACAGAAATTCAGACATTGACTGGAAGGGGCTTATGAGATACAAAGATATTCTGATTGCAGATGAACCTCTGAGGTTCTGTGCCAAAATACAAGACAAAGACCAAAATCTCCATTACACTGCACACCCATATGAACCACAAGTACTTACGCCCTTTTCTACATTATATTCCAAATACAACAACACTGTGGGTACAAAATCGAGCACATGAAAAGGTTGATTTTGACCCATATGCCACAATCCTGGTGAAGGACTATACTCACATAACTCTACTCATTACTATCATCATTATTATTACTGACATTATGATTATTACTGCATGACCAGTTGTGCTCATGATCGATGGAACTATACTACTGGAAATATCCTTCTTAAGTTTTAACTTAATATGGAGTTCAAAATTCCCACTTTTTGCCTCGGCACTGAACGCCTGAATTCATCAGCAGAAGCATCTGGGTAGATTTTCCTTCATTGTATCTCCTTACTCTAGGCCTGTGATCACTGAGCCACCCCAGCCTGGGCCAGCACACACCAACCAGTTCCTGATTCTAACCCTACTAACATGATGACCTCAGAGAACAACTTTTCTCTAGTAACTGACTGTGAAACCCTCCATTTCACCAGGCTCTCCTACCTTCCATTCGCTCCTGTTTATCCTTATCCACCACTGTTTTTAACTCCCCACAGGCGACACTCCTCTTTAGCCCAACCATAGGGAAGCTTGTGGACCTACCACATAAGGCTGTATCCCATTGCAATTCTCCATTCACACACAATCACAGCCTCCCTATGAGGATACTTCATGTTAAAACAATGTTTAGAGGGGCTGGAGAGATAGATGGCTCAGAGGTTAAGGACACTGGCTGCTCTTCCACAGGTCCTGAGTTCAACTCCCAGCAACCACACGGTGGCTCACAACTATCTATAATGAGAACCGGTGGCCTCTTCTGGAGTGCAGGCACATGTGCTGGCAAAACACTATACATAATAAATAAAACCTTAAAAAACAAAACAAACAATGTTTAGAAACAGCCCAAGGCCAATAACAATTATGATAAGACTCAATCCAAGCCAGCTATGCACACGGCTCTGTGAATTTTCCTTTCCAGCGAGTATGGCTTGGAAAGCTGGGCATTTGTTTCAAGTGGCAAGAATCCTTAGGCAAGGACATGCAATTTAGAGGAAGCTGAGACTCATAGGAAAAGCGGACACCACTGTAATAAGAGACAGTGTACAGAAAACAGGGTGGAGTTGCTCTGAGTTACTCAGCACTGTGGGGACTATCAGCTTTGCGGCTATGCCAAGCCTACAGTGACTCTATTTTGTTAGGTGACAACTCTGCACCAGTTTATTCTTAGTATTAATGTCAACAAAACATGTAAGGCACAAATTAATAATTTATCTCAATAACAACACCTGAAAACATATCGAATTATAGAAAAAAGCCCCACCCAAACTAACTCAGGAACATAATCCGATATAACCCTGCCTGAGACTAAAGAAGTATTAACTTGCCTACTGAATGATCACAGGACCAAAGCCAAGTGACAGGAACTCTATCAGAGGGAAGGACCCCGTCTCTGCTCCAGGACTCCAGATCCAGTGCAGTTTCTCCTGCCACGAACCTCAGCTCGCTTCTAACAGCCTGCGCTCAGGATGTGCGTGCATTGGACTTCTCTGAATCCTTACCGCTAGCTAAATCTTCAACTTCTCTGTTTCCAATTTGAGAACCTCTCATTCTCTGCTTCCAATTTGAGAACCTCTCATATCTTCAGCCTCTGTAACCTGCACATTTGTATACCATTGTGTGATATTAGTGGTGTTAGTGGTGCCCGGTGATATTAGTGGCTAAGGTTGAGATAAAGGAATCGCGGTTGCCATCAGACAGCTCGCCAGATAACCAGGTGTACTCGTCGGATCGTAGCCAAAGAAACCGACAAAGGCTGTGAAATGATTGGCTATTAAGTAAATTGGGATGTTGTGGAGACATAATGATAACCTGCTCACAGAACCTGGGATTACCACACCCCTTCTCAGCCTCCAACCCCCGCCCCTGCACACGAGCCCTAAATCAAGTATCCCCACGACTCTCCGCCTACACCGCCCAGGCTGCAAAGACGCGGGCGCCCAGGTGACCCGAGTCGCCGCTGCACTGAGCGCTCAGCGAGGGACAGGACCGCGACTCTGTCTGATGACCCCGCTCCACCCAGCAGGACGAGATCAGCGCGGCTCGGCGGAGCCAGAAAAGAATCGGCTGCCCTAGGAGGCCGCGTCCCCAGTGTTGCCTCCGCTTGCAGCAGCCTCCTCCTCATGCCCTGCCGCACGCACCATTTCCAGAGACCGGAAGTTCTGATGTCCTCCAGAGACTTGCAGTCAATGGAGAGGACGCAGATACCGAGGGGAGGTATCTGGGGGTCTCAGCCAAAGACACAGGACGACAATATGGCGGGACACACAATGGCACCCCAAATGTTGTTCAGCCTCCGTCACCGAAGACCAAAACTCCTCATTGGACAGTTCACACAGTCACCAAACGTTCTCCCTGATTGGCCCAAAATCCGCGGGCCCGCCTCCTGGATCCCGAGTGACAAGGGAAGCATCTCCTTCCTCACAAGTTAAAGTCATTGACCGAGTCCTGGCAGAAGTCTTCACAGCCGGTCCTGTTTTCTACTCTGGAGAGCACCTGGTCCCATATGGGGAAAATGTACATTTAAAACGCAGGTTATCCTGGCTTTGCAGGTACTTATTCAGTGGGAAATTCCTGCCGCTTTTTCCTCCAACTGAGGTTGCCGGTGACCATAGAGAATCTCACATTGTTTCTGGAGACCATTCATGTCCTCAGAGAAGATTGCCTAAGGCAGTCCAGAAATCCCTGGGATAGCAAGGAGGGTCTAATATTATCACATCTCGGAAAGGGGGGAATGAAGCAGCTTTCTTACAAATAATTTCTCCATCTGTTTTCAAACAATAAATACAAACAAAAGAATGAGATTATTCACTGGGTGGTGGCGCATGCCTCTAATTCCAGCACTCGGGAGGCAGAGGCAGGTGGTTCTCTGTGAGTTCGAGGCCAGCCTGGTCTACAGAGCGAGTTCCAGGACAGCCTCCAAAGCTACAGAGAAACCCTGTCTCACAAGTGAGAGAGAAGAAAGAGATTATTCAAGACACAGAAAAAGAGGCCTGGTGCCCTCTTCTGGATTCCAAGGGCATCAAGCATGTAATTGGTGCACAAACATACAAACAGGCAAAATGCGCCCAATTTCTTCGTTAGGGTTTCTGTTGCTGTGAAGAGACGCCATGGCCACGGCAACTCTTATAAAGGAAAGCATTTAATTTGGGTGGGTCACTCATAGTTCAGAGGTTTAGTCCATTGTAGTATGGAGGGAAGCAAGGCATCAGGCAGATAGACACGGTGCTAGAGCAGGAGCTGAGAGCTCCTTAGTCTCGTCTGACAGGCAACAGGAGGTGATCTGAGACACTCACTGGGTATAGCTTAAGCGAATATGAGACACCCCCCCCACTGCCCCCACAGTGGCACACTTCCTCCAAACAAGGCCATTGCTACTTCAACAAAGCCACATCTCCTAATAGTGACACTCCCTTGGGGGCCATTTTCATTCAAACCACCACACTCATGCACAAAACAATGAAATGAAAACAATAAAAGTAACCGGCCTCCCCCCAAAAGCACACATCTCCTAACAACCCCTCCATAGACACCCCACACACAAAACAATTATGGAGTTCAATTTGTGTTGGCCAACTGCTGCCACATACGGGAGCCCCTGATTGGCCCAAAATCTGTTTCACTCATTTAAGGAAATATGATTTCCCCTCTCCCCTCAACTATTAATTTCAAATAGTTTCTTGACAATGGGATGGGATTTTGTGGCCACTTCCCCTTCTCTGTGCTGGGATTTTTGTCTGGCTTGATTGCACTTACGCAGGTTTTGTGCACTCTGTCACAGTCTCTCTGAGTTCATATTGCGTCAGCCCTGCTGTGTCTTGAAGACACTTTTCTTGAAGGTATCCACCACCTCTGGCTCAGACAATGGTTCTACTGACTCTTCTATATAGGACTCTACCTTAATTACTTTTCCTTTTTTGATTTTTCAGCTGAGATGCTGAGAAAGAGTTATGCTTGGCCACAGGTGAAAACAGAACTAGTTCGAAATGCCAAGGTCCAGGGCTAACAGGGACTGTTTTAGTCTCTTGGGTGATCTCTGAGAGGAGATGGTGATGTTCCAGACACACTGAGATGTATTACCAACAGTAGCACACAGTCCAACAACTTGTACCAGTGTCCCAGCCTTCAGCATCCCTTAGTTTTGCTCCCTTAGCCTTTGTGCTTGCACATGCTAATTTACTTGGACCTCTGCCTCATCCTTCTTCTCTCTTGTGCTTCAGCCTACATGCTTGCTTCTTCCTCCACTTCGTTGTCATGGCTCAGAAGTTTCAAGGAAGATGGAGCTAAGGCAGAGAGTTCCTGGGACTGGGCTAGTCTTTTGAAACTCAAAAAGCCTGCCTCAAGTGTCACACCTCATCCCTAATCCTTCCTAACTACTTTCATGAGCTGGAGACCAATATTCAAACATATGGAATATTCTTATTTAAACCACCACAGCATTTAAGGGAGGGGTGTGACAAAAACATACCATAGGACTGAGGGGTCCAAATCTCTCATTTTCTACATACTGTCTAGTTGTGGGTCTCTATGTTAATTACCATTTTTGATGAGCGTTGTTATAGGTATAGCAATATGTCTTATGATATTTATTTATCAGAAGAGTGGTAGTAGGTTTTCCCCCTACAGCCTATGATATATCTGGTAGTGGGTTCTTGGCCTTATTAATGGCATCAGGTAAGAGTTCCAGCTCATGTAGCATGACCTAAATCCAACCAAAAAGTGGTTGGTTACTCCTATAACATTCATGCTACTATTGTACCAGGAGACATGTCTTGTTGGCAGGTTGCTATTGTGACTCAATGGGTCCAGAGCTGGGTGAGACGGATGATTACTTTCCTCAGCAGCATATATAGCATCTTCCAGTACTATGAAGGCTAGCTCTCTCTTAATTATTAATCCATTTCTATTAATCTGAGTATTCCCACATGCTCTTGGCTTACCCAGTAATGCCCCAATATGTTACTCCTTCTGCCTCTGGCAGCCTATCTCTGCCTTCCTCTCTCCAACCAGCCTTCTCCTGGTCTGGTAGCCCCCCCCCATGCTTCCTGCCTGGCTACTGGTCAGCCAGTGTTGTATTCATCATCCAATAAGTGAAACATATATGCAGTCTCTGCCCTTTCAATGCTCCCCATAACTCAAGAGAGCTCCAGTCAGCTCCTCCTCTATGTTATAATGGGTCATATCTGCACCTGAAACCATGCCCTAAGGGTGTGGCCACCAATACAAGTTCATTGGCAAGGCAAGGTGACACTACAAGAAAGTTTTTTTTTTTCTAGTTTTTATTTAATGTGCATTGGTGTTTTGTCTGTGTTTGTGGGTAGGAGATGGGCAAACAATAGGTTGTAGGATACATACCACAAAAATAAAATAAAATTAAATTTTAAAAATGTCATAACACACAGAGACATATCTACACAGAGAACATTAGGTTCCTCCAGCCCATTACAGAAAAACAAAAACAAAAAACCCAACTCATACAGCAACCTCCCCACCCCAGACAGAGCGGAGCATCTTCAGGCATCCTTGGATCTCTTTGGGTCTTTGATTCCTGAAGCATCAGTAAAGTTCCCCAAACTATGCAAGGTGTGGAAGCATTGCATTTCCTTCCATGACCTTCCTGAAACAATAAAATAAAACAAAATCTACAGGGCTTAAATGATCAGAGTTGTTAGAACAGAAAGAGATGGTATTGTTCTTTTGTTACAGTTATAGGTTAAAGCTGGAGAAATGGGGGGGGTGCCCCAAGTTAGTGGGGTCCCAAGGTAAGGGACCACATGGGAGAGCATAGCAGGTTCCATAGCAGGTGAGGGTGACCAAGGCGCAGGGAATAATACAGCAGGCAGATAGAGCTTAAATGAGGAGTTTATTTAGAAAGGGGAGGGGGAAGGGAAGAGACATAGAGGCACTGGGAAGAGAACAGGAGAGAGAGAGAGGGAGGGAGGGAGGGAGGAAGGGAGGGGAAGAGAGAGAGAGAGAGAGAGAGAGGAGCTGGAAGGCATTACAGAGCAAAAGAGAAAGCAAAAGAGAGCGTAAGTGGGAGGGGTCTATCTTTTAAAGGGGTCCTTTACACCTGCCTTCAGTCTAGTACTCAAGCAGACCAAAGTACTGCATAAGTGCATTCTGCCAGGTGACAGGCCACCATAATGCCTGAATTCTTACAGATGGTGTCTCTGTCTCCATTCTCTGGCAGCGGGGATGGAGCAGATGGGATCATATCCCATAGCTGCTGCCCCAGTAAACAGGGCAAGACAATGAAATTAAAATCCACCGGGCCAGTGGCTTGTGTAACAAGGAGTCCAGAGTCTTCAACTTCTCCTTGCTGAGAACCTAAGATACAAACCGGATTTGTCTTCATTTCTCTTACCCTGGAATGTGTTTACGAAAACTTCTACTTCCCATTCCTCTCTCCCAACATGCCCAGCAGTTGCACACACCGGACAATCAAATGTTCCGCTGGACTCCAATTGTGGATGCTTGGGAGGGGGTGGGGTGCAGCGATTTATGGTCAGAGTTTGCAGGAGGCGCCTCCAGCTTTCAGTGGTCACTAGACTCTTTATGGTCAGAGCCTGGGCCACTAGTTCTTGGTAGGTCAATTAAAAAGACAAGTAAGAGTGAAAAGCAGAAAAAGGAGATTCTTGCCCCCCCTCCAACTCCCCCCATGTAGCTATGACCAGAGAATAAAGACTGGTGACTGAAACTGAGTGTTAACATAATAAAGAATCCAGTTGGCAGAGAAGAGAATGAAATCCCTTCCTCCACCTAGGCAGTGTACAAACAATGAAGCATGCACAGGCCAGTTTGCAGAGAAAGACTGTCCTGCTTAGCCTTACCAACTCATTACAGCCTAGGGTCTTCTGTGATTCAGCCTCAACTGAGGAATTGTCTAGATCACATTTACCTGTGGGTGGGTACATTTAGGGTCTTGATTATTAATTTATAGAGAAGGGACCGGTCCATCTCTTGGGCTGTATAAAGCCAGGCAGTGGTGGCAAATGACTAATTTTAGCTCTCAGAAGGATCTCTGAGTTTAAGGCCAGATCTTCAGACAGTGAAATAGTGAACAAAGGAATTGCAGGCAAATGCTCACAGAAAGAGGTAGGGAAAATTCTGCCCAGCAGAGGGCATGGATCATTTACAGGAGGTGGGAGAAAGAAGTTACCTGGCTTTGCCTTATGTGGTCCCAATACTTGACCAGAGCAAAAAAAAAAAAAAAAAAGGGGGGGGGCGGGGCTACTCTCCTGAGGGAATACATTTACAATGACATTTCCCTTCCCCTCAGTATGTGAACCAAGGTGAGGGCCTTAGAAGACAG